GACCGATTTAACATCACTGAATATTTTATCTCAGACCAAGACTGCATCCAAAATTCCAGGTCTCTACATGCATAAATAGTTTTTCATAGTGTTATCATATTCGTTATCAGAAAAAGTTTCAAGCGTATTGACATTTGATTACATGACCTGAATGCATTATGAAAATAATGGATTTATTTACCTCCATTCACTTTCTTAATATCCTTGACATATCTTTATTCTGTTTATTGATGGTCATATCAGCATTTTCGGTTTTGTCTATAATGTTGCTTATCAGATCATTCTGTGTCAAAATTTCATCTCCTAGATCATTAGCAAGTCCTTTCAGACGTGAAATATTGTTGCACATTTCCTGGAGATTCGCATCTAGACGCGCACTGAAGTCTTTGCTGCCTGATGAACTCTGGTAGTCTCTAGAGTAGTTGTCTTGCAATCTAGTAGCGGGGTGATTTTCATAACGATCATATGTTGATAATTTTTCGTCTAAGTTCGGGTTTGATGTGGATTGCTGAAAAAGAATATATTATTAAAATAATGAATCAAATATACTCACTTGTTCTGTTCTTAGTCAAAACTTTGCAGGTCAGCAGGAACAGTATATGACAGCTCAGGTTGCCCAGATAGAATGCTTAGGTGATGTGGTTGATTAACATATTCTCCAAGGAGATTTCCAGCCTTATGCTCTATACTAGGACATTCCATCATCAATGCTATGTTGCCAGATAGGATGACTAATGCCTTTAGAAATAATAAAACCCGGCTCCATTCTTCTTTGAAAGAAAATTGTTTATTCCTAAACGTCTCCTTCTCCTATCTGGGTTCAGCGCGCGGTGTTTCGGTAGGCTCAGCCGATATGGGAAGGGGCATCGTTGCCAGATGGACGGTAACTACTGGTAAGGCAGGAAAAGAATACCTATGCACTAATTGTATGTGTCTATTTGACTGACTTGATCCGCTCAATTTCTCTATGTTACATTTTTGTAACTAATTTTTTCTCAAAGGGTTTAACTTGTGGTAAACTTAATCTTTATGAACTAATGATGGCATTGCATAGGAAGTGCAGAGTCAACCTACGTGACGCAATTTTTTATATGACTATTCAGAAAAACATATCATACAAAAAATGTAAGGTCTATTCTAAAATCCTATGTGTCTCAGGAAAGTGCCATGAAGTTTTATTTTAGTAATTCTCTAGCTTAGCTACACCATTCTTTTTTGTTTCTCCATTTGAATAGACAGTATGTTTGGTTTGTAAATGATGGAAATGAGATTAAAAATGCCTACAAATGGGTTAGTTGCAGAATTATGTTGATATTATCTAGGTTTTAAAAGGTATCAACACCTTAATCATGACAATTTCAGAATGGAACGAATCCTACACATACCGCGACGCTGAAATATTGAAGAAATATAAGAAAATTTAAATTAACTAGAATATGTGTCCGCATGAGAGAAAACCTATGAAGTAATGAAATCTGACAACATCGCACAACCTAAGAGAACAAACATTCAATAAGAACCTATTATATAGTAATATATTCCAAAACTTTCACATTTTGAGTGCCATTTCTTTCATCTACACCAAAATACCAGGGTCTGAAATCATTTTTCCATCAAAAACGGCGGGTGTAGCTAAGCTAGAGAATTACCTTTATCTTTTCAAATGAAACACAGTGTATAATTTTTTCTGATTCCAAATATATCTGGTTTATACCTTATTTTCATTAGTTTGGACTAGATTTGGTGTGTCATATATTCATGTGTATCCAAGCTCATACCAGTTTGCATCTATGTATATGTAATCTGACATAAAATTTATTATTATTTTTGATTGAACTAATGAAAATAAGCATAGTAATAAATCATATGTATATTTAGAAACAGAAAAAAAAGCAACTCTAAGGTTCACTGAAAATAGTCAGGGTCGATATAAAAAAATCTTATTCAATAGCAGTTTTCTGAGAATGTATATAAAAAAGGCATTGCCTGAAAAATATTATATTATGCCCTAAAACTGCTGTGAATAACTTTTTTTTATGAAAGGCTATACAAAAATGTCGATTTATAGTAAGACAAATGTTACAATGCCAATCTGTTATTTTCCTTCCAGAATTGTAAAATAGGAAAATGCTTCTGATCAATGTTGAAGTATTGTTAGTTGAAGAGGGGATCATAACTGATGCCTTTTTTAGGGCTTTTATACTGAAATTTTAGAAATCTCAAGACTCAAAAAAGTGATTTTTGGTACATTTTTATTTTAAAATGAGACAGACACAACACTGCAATAATCTAAAACCAACGAATTGAAACTGTCAGTGGTATTACCAGACTTTGCTAAATGGTTAAACAATAAGGCATAGAACCATGTATCATTCTATAAGCGTAGTTACAACCTTGACTATCAGTAGCACCTCTTCCATCTCAGTAATCGGGTGTTATTATTTCTAAAGACAATGTAACACTTGAATTTATTTGAAACATTTAATAATTACATGTTTTTTAACCTTTATCTCTATTTCTTCAAGAATCTATTTTTACAATTGGGTCAGCCCACCGATATTTAAATCAATAAATAGCAAATCACATTAAATTATACTTACTTTAACAGTACTTGGTGTAGAACTAGATGTAGATGGACTAACATCATTTTTTCCAGACATATAATTCTTCAAACTGCTGAATACAGATTTAATTCCATTTATATGTTTTTGAGAAAACCGTAATGTAGCGTTGATTTCATCCAACTGCTTATCAGTTTTCTCTAATTTTTCTCTCTGTCGCATCAATTCTTCTGCAGTAGCTATGCCTATTTGCTCAGATTCTCTCAATATGTTTATGCTTTTATCAGTGCTGCTGATAGTTCGTTCTTCTATGGCCTTTTTCTTTTCAGCGAACGACTGCATTTGTTCATCTAAAGTGGGTTGCATGTTCATACTGGACGTTGATCGTCTAGAATTTCTGAGAAATAGTTCATCGTCGATGTCGTCCTCTTCGAAGGGGTTTGTAGATTTTATGTATCGATGATTATTCATTTTGAATTGAGCACAATACACTAGCACACTATGTGGTCGATGAGACAAAGAAGATATGGAAAATTAAAAAAAATATAATTTATCTGTAATCACTTTGACACTTGTGCCCCCTTTCCATTCAAAACAAAACATATATATGACAAAACGCCAAGAAACGTCAATAACAAACAGGACGTAGTTGAAACGCCACGCCTCCTTCTCTCCTAGACCACAGCGTAGTCGAATAAATTGGGACTTGGACTCGTATTAACTGAGATTAGACGCACACGATAGTGATAGGACTGTTGAATACCCGAAGTGTAGTCGCAGTAAGTGAGACAGTATGCCGGCGCTGCCAAATTGTTTTCTAAATACATGTATATGCTTACAACTCAAATGTCAAGTTCCTGTGTACCTATATTCTGTCACACACGTCGGTTTGACCTGTACCATCACAGAACACCCAGGCTATACAGCAAAACAACACATCTGATGGAATATAAGGGAAAATAGACAGTAAACAATTATGCCATAGGTGCTCTATGAAAATGAATAACAATTCGGCAGAATTGTGAAATAGGATACAACGACCGTTTTGTGTCAATGTTATCAGGGACCAGTTGTGATTCTTAGCATTTTGACTCGGATTTTACATTTCCTGCATTGATGCAGCTACTTTTCTAGTTTTCAGTGTTCATGTTCGGAAAACGTGTCGTTTTGGCAATCACAAATAGAAAAATCCTGTGCATGTTAATGTTAGCGCTTTCTCTAGAATTCGAATAAATGATTTATATGATGTATGAATTATAAATTATACTTGACGTATGCGGTATTTGTGTTTGCTAGACCTCTGTAACAGTAGGTCTCTAATACACGGCAGGGGTATTACGTAACTGGAAAAGTGACACTGTCTGTTTTTTTTGACATTTTGTAGGTTTTTCATGACATTAGGTTTTCCAACAAGGCGTTAACTGGATAGGAATGATTTGCACACTAGCCTGCGATTTTTACATTATAATTGTGGCTAACTAAGTGCTTGGCTATATTCAGAGTGTAAGTATGCCCATTGACAAGAATAACATTACAATTTGAATCAGCTTAGAAGACGAACTGGCAATACTGCTCAACTCAGACGTATAGCAGACAGCGAGTAAGCATCGAACATCAAAAGTTCAGCCCACACAAATGTCAGCTGCTTGACTGATAATTGACATTGACAAGTGAAACGTCAAGCAGGCGTCCTGGATATGTTTACGTTTTTCATCTGAAAATAAATAATTTTCTTAAAATATCCGAAGCATCCTCAAATTTTACGGTATTATTCCACTGTGATCAACAAAAGTTTTCTCCAATATGTCGATCGGTGTACCAATTAAAGTGCTGCACGAAGCAGAGGGTCATATTGTAACCTGTGAAACCATAACCGGCGAAGTTTACCGGGGAAAACTCATAGAAGCAGAGGATAATATGAATTGCCAAATGACACAAATCACTGTAACTTACAGAGACGGCAGAGTAGCCCAACTAGAAAACGTTTACATCAGAGGTTCAAAAATTAGATTCTTAATATTGCCAGATATGTTGAAAAATGCACCTATGTTTAAGAAACAGACTAAAGCGGGAACTGCTGGTAGAGGGAAGTCTGCGATACTTCGAGCTCAAGGTAATCAGTTTTGCAATGCATCCGTTATTATAGAAAGAAATCTGCTATTTGCATACTTTAATTTTTTGCTCAAATAAGGAATACCAATCATGAAAATATATTTTTTTTAGCTCGTGGTAGAGGAAGAGGACAACCTCCACCTATGAGAGGTAGAGGTGGACCATGGCAGAATCAACAAGGTGGTTCAGCAGGTCGAGGCAGATAATTTGCTTAGCAGTATGGTGTATGCTTTGTGTGTGAAAGTACTTGCAGTGTTTACTAAAAAAATCTTGGTTAGTATGTAAGAGTTGTGTAATGTAAAAACTCTTGAGAATTCCTGATTAATTGGACTTAATTCTATGAATAAAAAACTTTGTTTATAGTTATTTTATAATTTAAAACCTGAATGTATAGCCACAACACCTAAAGTTAAATTCTCATATGATACTTGTCTAAATCCTGCTTCTTCAATCATCTGCTTGAAGCTCTCCTAAAAAAAGTATTAAGTATATTAAGTTAACTATAAGAATAATGACCTAATCCATATTTTTGATGTTATGTAGCATCTATATAGTTGAGGCAAGTTAAACTTGTAGAGCTGTATTTACCTGATTAGGAAACTGTCTAATACTTTCTACCAAATACTGATAGGCTTTCCATTCCCCTGCAATCAGTTGTCCCAAAACTGGGATAACTTGAAAACTGTATTGATCATATGCCCTGAAAATGGATATGTTTAATATGAAAATTGTGTAGCTGGTCAACACTTACCATTGAGCTGCAGAATTTTCTAAATGACTAAACTCTAAACACATAAACCTTCCACCAGGCTGTAATACTCTGTAAGCTTCCTCTAAAACCTTGTCTATGTGGGTACAATTCCTAATTCCAAAAGCAATTGTATATGCATTGAAAGAGTTTTCTTTAAAAGGCAATTGTTCTGCATTCCCTTCTTGCCAAGATATCAGACTAGGTTCATGTTTCAAGTTGAAACTTCTTATTTTACCTACTTCTAGCATATTTGCATTTATATCTGTTACTGTAACATGACAGTCATTGAGGTTTTCAGTTTTTACATAATCTATGAACCGAAATGCTATATCACCTAAAAAATTAAATTTGCTATATATAAAAAAAAGGAGAATGTATGGAGATGAAAGCATGCCAGATATCAGTGGGATATTGCATTAATTCAATGGTTGCTTAAAGTCTTGCAAAGCTTCAATAGACCATTATCCACTATGTAGATGTATGTACTATTATCTAGGCAGATGTTCTGTTTGATACTTGAAGCACTTGATTGTAGAAATGGATAGACAAGTTTTTGTGCTTAATATACCTGTGCCACCTGCAACATCCAACAGTTTTGTATTATGTGTTGGAGATAATGAACACATGAAATAATCTTTCCAAATTCGATGGATACCTAGAGACATAGCATCGTTCATTACGTCGTAGTCTTTTGCAACATTTTCGAAAACTTCGTGCACTGTAAGAAACATTTATGAATATATTTCAGCAATAATATGCTTAGCTTTGTACCTTTATGTTGTTTTTCGCTTTCTTTAACTTTTTCAAATCCAAAGTGTGTTTCTCTTTCATCATTATTTACATTTTCATTTTGAGTTGAAAGATTTTTGATATGCCCTGCAAGTATTTTTGGTATTTTCTTACGGAATAATACCTTGGTTAAAAGGGACATTTTTTAAGAATCTCAAATTAAATTCAGGTTATGTTTATACGTAGTTCTTTGGCAATAAGTAATATGTAGTGCTGGTTGCATACACCTAGTCACCACTTCGATGCTATTGATGGGCAACCATGACTGTTTATTATATTTTTCACTATGTTTATTTTTTCTAATGCTGCTTTTCCTGCATAAAATTTCTAGCTGAATCTGTGACGTGTTTTTTCATGCCCAAACTTTAACAGAATATGATAATTTTTTCCAGGCTAATTTCAAATCCTTTTTTCTTATTGAAAAATGAACGTAAACAATTTGTTTCAGCTATTAAAAATACAATTTTGACTTCTACGCCTTCTGGTCAAACTGGAAGCAGCCAGTTTAAAAATTTAAGACTTATTACGGAATTCAATTTATCCTGTGTCATCCTTCTTAAATCATTCCTAACAGCGAGCAGAGATGACACTGAAAAGTGCCTGCTGAGGACTGAAGTTCACTTATGTCCTTTGTATAGGCCATTGCGTATTTTTTAAGTCATATATTATGACCTTGTGTTCTTCATTTCATGAACTGGCTGGTATCAATAAAAAACTATTCTTGGCGCCAACATTTTGTTTCTTTGGTACCAATGAAAGTTTATTAATGGAATCATTTTTGAGTTCAATTTTTAATTCCCAACCCTAATGGCGGGAAAGTATTGTAATCGCGAAAATTTTCGTCACTCATTTCCGTAGATCTGACTTCCCGCTAATCCTATAACCGATCTTGAAAAGTACTGCTCGGATTTTTATGAAATTTTTATACTACTATGCCAACGAGGAAAAAGCTGTTGTTTTTAAAAATCGGTACAGTGGGGGCGGAGAAAAAGACCAAGACAAAAAAAAACGCTCAAACATTATTTTTTGACGTTTCTGAGAATCCTGATCATTTTAGAGGTAAAAGTTTGGAGGTGGGGGTTGTAGGAAGGTGGAGAGGGTATATCTCAATTACCGACCGGCCACGTCTTCTTCTCTTCTCCCCGCGGCGTGCCGCCGGCATTGGTGAGTGTTCTGGTGTTACACGTATTAATGCCGCGTTTCAGCATAGTGTTTCCTAAGCTGTGGCCCGCTGCTACGTCTGACCGGGCTACGTATCGGGGAGAGGGGACGTTGCCCGAGGGACTACCGGTAGGGCAAGTCTAATTGTCTAGACCTATTTGACTGACTTTTTTCTCAGAGGGTCCAGTTTGTGCTGGAACATAATTGTATATGAACTGATAACAGCGTTGCGTGAGAACCTACCTGGAACCATTTTTTCTAGATCAAGTTTTTCGGCAGGCTTTACTTGCATGTATCATGTGGACTCTGTACACTTGATTGTTATTAGGGAGGTTGGAGGTAGATTAAGAAAGCAATGAATAAGTCATCTGAATATCGTAATGAGCCTTAAGGTGGCTACAGACACAACTGCTAGCTTGTCCAGCATGCTTATTTAATCTTTTTGTACAAGTACACAATTTACCTTTGGCACCTCACGTACAAGCATGCTTGATAAAAATAGAAGTAGTTTAATAAAATATGTCCAGCTCGGACGTCGATGCGCTCGCTTTGGCCGCTTTTGTTCTCCTGAAGAAAAAAAATCCCGAATAAATAGCGTGCGGTGTGGTGTAAAGAATGGTTGATGAAAAGGAAAACCTATTCTCACATTAACTTACTAAGGCCCGTATCGTCATTCGTCCCTACAATTGTAGGGTGCGTTTATGGCCTCCTTGATTGTCATACTCCTTTCTCTAGATTACACTTGTCCCGTGTCATCGTCAGCGCTCTCCTATTGTGAAGATATGTTTTCTTTTTAAATTGTAGGAAATTTCAGGCTGATAAAACATGATATAACTCAAAAGCAAGCACAATTTGATGCAAATAGATGTTTGTGACATAACCTCAAAATAGAGTTCTGACACGGAAAAGTAGAAAACTATGACAATCAAGGAGGCCATAAAGGCGCCCTACAATTGTAGGGCGCGTTTATGGCCTCCTTGATTGTCATACTCCTTTCTCTCCTTCAAAAATTTCTAGATTACATTTGTCCCGTGTCAGCGTCAGCGCTCTCCTATTGTGAAGATATGTTTTCTTTTTAAATTGTAGGAAATTTCAGGCTGATAAAACATGATATAACTCAAAAGCAAGCACAATTTGATGCAAATAGATGTTTGTGACATAACCTCAAAAAAGAGCGCTGACACGGAGAAGTAGAAAACTATGACAATCAAGGAGGCCATAAAGGCGCCCTACAATTGTAGTCACGACTGACGATACGGGCCTAAGTGAGCTGAAAATATATCCACGTGACTGGCACACTTATCTTAGAATGGATGAAGAGACGTATTTAAACCTTTTGTCTCTTGTATCACCTTTGATTCAAAAGCAGGATATGATCATTAATGAACGCCAACTTGTGCAAGCTTGAAAATCTTGGTTGCGCAAGCGCGCCAGATTCAAGCATGCGTGATTAAAATCAATTCAATCCTCAAGTTGCTTGTACAATTACAAAGCGTATACCACATTTCCCTACAGGCATTCTAGCGTGCTTGTACAAGAAGTTTGAACAAGCATGCTGGACAAGCTTGCATTTGTGTCTGTAGCCACCTTTAGGGCCGTGTGGTCAGGTGTTCCTACAATTGTATGGCCTCGTTGATTTCCACAGTACCTTTGTCTCCTTCAGAATCGCTGGGGTATTTCTAGATTTCTACTGTTCCGTGTCAGCGTCAGCGCTGTCCTATTGTGAGGTTATGTTTTGTGAGAATTTAAAAAGAAATATAACCTCAAAATGAAGCGCAGACACGAAAATAATCTAGAAATACCCGTACCTTTCTGAAAGAAAGCTATTAAAATCAAGGAGGCCATAAAGGGGTCCTACAATAATTGTACGAACGACTGACGATACGGCGCTTAGAGTTTTGTGCGAACGATACCACTCTAAGAACTGAATATTTCGTCCACCATCTAGAGCTGGGTCGGCCATGAAATAGTCGTTCCGAAAGAACAATGCCCCAGTCGGAATCGAAAAAACCGATTCCTATGGTTTCGACGGCATCGATTCCGGTGGTTTCGATTCTAGCGGTATCGACTCCGATTCCGATAATTTCGATTCCGAGTAAGCTGGTTTTGAAAAAATCGATACAGTTCGGATTCAAATATTGCTGCCATTGCAATGAAATCGCACAAAGGCTTTTGATCGCAGCGGCTCCAAATGAGGAACGATTTAAAAGATAATTTGGTATGGAGTATACGTAACGATAGTTGCGATTTAAGGTTTAATTTTATACTTTTAATGAAAAAATATAAACCGACATAGTAGGTACATATATGAATGCAAAATTTTCGATTTTGAAATGTTAGAGGCAGTTCAATCATACAATTATGAATTAAGGCTTAAAAACGGATTTTCCCAACCTTCCCAGCCGAGAAACTGGCTCTTATTGTTAATATATTTCCAGTTTTGGAAAATATTCTTTCTCAATGAACTGAACTTCCAACGACACATAAGATCTCCTTCATTAATAAAATATGGGTAATGAATCATCATCAACTTAAACAAACGTATTTAAAACATACCATCGAGCATTGAGTCTACATCGATGCTCAAGCTATGACAATCTCGCACTAAAACTCCTGTAAGAAGTCGGAATCAGAGGAATGGAAAGCAATCGGAATTGTGTACGAATCGAAGGAGATCTTAGACCAATCAACTTTCGCACACGCAACACAGCTTCAATGAATCACCTTATTTTCCAACAAATTTCCCTACCAACATTCCGCGGTTTCTAACAGTCACGACGACGCTTTAACCGCAGGAACAGAACATCTGATTTTATGGGGTATATAAAAGACGAGGATTTATCGCCTGCAGCTACCGTAAGTGCCATTGATGAAGCTCTAAAAGCAGCCAGCGTACAAAACACCGAAGGCCTCGAATGATGGGGCTGTGCAGCAATAAAAACCAATAAAAACAATAAAATCTACTGGTCCGATTCCAGCAAATTGCAATTTACTGTGGGTCTTGCCTTCGAGCCGGTTGAAACGTTGTAGACGGCTCCTTGCAATAGCATCGCCACTCTTGAATTGAGTTATACGGATTTCGTTTAATTGCATCTTACTTGCAAATGGGCCCTTCTGTGCCGCGTATGTTTGTTATTGTGTGCACGAGAGAACTCGATACTTTTATTGAGTTCTCTCGCGTTAAATATATCGGGTCGACCATTACTGTGGTGGTTTGCTATATGAGAAAGTCAATTTTGAGCTTTCCAGCTATCTGTTGCCTAGCATTTGGAAAGCAGCGATGGCCGCAGTGGTAGACTCTTCGGTCTCCTGACCAGTCGCCGTGCGCTGTACGGGTTCGAATCCCGTCCCAAGAGAAATCCTTCTCTTGGCTTTGGATGTTGTGATTGTCCGCAGGTGGTCGACGGTCTCTGACTGTCGAACGCGGAAGTGCCACGCGGCGGATCTCGTAGGCGGGGCCAGAATGTGAGCATGTTGCATGCACACGTGTTCCCACGGCAGAGTCCGTTTGGCATTCCCCCTTTCCCCTGTATCCCCCTATAGCCCACGGTACCCGATGGGTGTTTAGGCCGTTGTGGTAGTTGGAGTATAAAAAAATTAATGAAGGTCAGAAGTGGATCAAAAAGCAGTTCAATCACATTCATGACTCTCACGCTCACACTTCCGAAATCTCAGTGCAGCTCACTCTTATCCAGGGCATTGGACTGTGTTGATTATAAGATGCTTTTGAAAATATCTGGATATGGGAAACGTGGAGCTGCCTATTGTCGGATAGAGGAGTTGTTTTTATCTGGTAGGTCTCAATATGCGTCTATCACTTAACGTGCTGAATCTACTATACTCGAGATGGATATGGGTGAACCGCAAGGCTCTGTTTTTGGACCTGTTTTATTAACATTATATGTGAATGATATTGAAAACTGTTTTCCAGGTGCATTCAATCAGTATGCTGATGATACATCCACCACTATGTCTAGTGCTTGTGAAGCAAC